GCGACCCCTCTCTATACACTTGTATGGCGGGGGGGGGGCCGCCGAACGATGAGAACTAAATTTTCTTATTACACAGAGAGAAAAGTAATTAAGTTCAGAAAAGGGGTGTGCCCGCCCTAGTTTTCGTTTTCATTTTGGTGGGGGAGGGTGGGGGTGGCGGTGGGGAGAGAGAGGAGAGACAAACGAAAGCTGTATGGTCACATCCGAATTTTCAGTTCCTTCTTCCTTAGTAGAATTCTGTGTGAATGTTGGAGGCGGTTGTCTATTTCTTTATAGTACGGCGTGGGAGGACGGTAGGGGGGGCACAAACCGCGCCAGTCAGAACAAGATACGAGCTTTGTTGTTGGGTTCTAAACATGGTGGGGCCAGTCCCTCCATCCTGCTCATCAAGGTTACCACCAACATCAGGAGAAGTGGCATAACAAGCGGTATCTTCCTCCGGTTCCTCAGACGTTTCGCCACACGCGGCCGCCCGGTTCCTCACCCGTATCCCAGCTAAATGGGGGAAGGGGGTTGACGTATGAAAGTGAGCCGGGGGCGCCGTGAGAAACACAGAAGCGGGATCCTTGTCCTCAAAAGCCTACATAATCACATGTCTGACTTCTTGTTAATTCTCAGCCTTCTTTTTTTTTTTTTTTTTTTCCCCCAAAAAAAAAAGACCTTGCAGCAGCATTCGGCCCACTTTCGCAGTTCCCCAGGAATCCCCCCAAAGTTTTGGATTACACTTTCCTTTTTCCCAACGGCATCGGGGGGGGGGGGGGGGGGGGTCATAGGTCAGACAATAGGAAGTGCGGCGCACCGATGATGTTGGTTGTCAGCGGTGCCGGTGTGTGTTTTGGTCACACACACGCAAGAGTCATGTGTGCATGTGGGCCCTTTTTCTACAGTCGAGTGACTGCAAGGAAGCGTTGGTTGGCTTTGTTTATGTTTATTTATAAAAATGTCAAATGCTTGAAAATTGAAAAAGGATTCCGGGGTGGGGGGGGGGCTATTACCTCCGGGCCATGCTGTTTCCAAACGCCACGCGTGAGCAGGTTTTTGGGGAATTTCGTGCTGAGCTGAGAGCTGACGTAGTATGGAGGCGCCGGGGTTTGAGACGTGGGCCGGGGTCACGCGAAAAACAACACGCAACGGCGTACGAGTCGGCGGGCAGAGGGGTCGCGAGCCCTCAGTCATGCTGAGGAGGATTTGGAAGACAAGAAAGCCATGAAATGTGAACGTAGGCAAGACGTGTCACCCCCCCCGTCCCCCCACACCCCTCCACCCCTACCCCACTAGCACCACCACCTCTTCCACCTTCCCTCAACCACTCCCTCACCAACTCCCCTTGGCGCCCCCCTCTCCCTGTATCCCATCTGGCCGGCTCCACCACGCTCTCTTGGAAGGGGGGGGTGGATTCAGTTCAGTAGCTGTTCGTGCTAATGATGCCCCCCCCCCCCCCTCCACCCAACCCACCCATGCACACGCCCTCATGTGGTACTCTCATAGGCCAACTGCTCCTGTGATAGTCGGGCCCCTCTGGCTGCCCCTCGCTGGGGGAAAAGCCCAACTGACACCTTTCTTTTTCCACATGCTCCTCGCTGGCAGCTCACCGGCTGGAACACCGAGCGCCCCCCCCACATTTTGAACCGAGAGTCATCCCCTTGACCCCTTTAAACACCCCCCCCCCCCCCCCCCCCCCACACACACACACACACACATGCATGCATGCTAGGCAGCACATTATTGCTCAAAGCAGTATTATGGCACATGCGGAGCGTTAATACAGCGACAAGAAGCTGTTTGCTGTGTAAAGAGAAAGTGTTGTTGCGTCGTTATCCAAGCTTCTCTTTGCTTTTGCTAACGGCGCCGGGCCAGCACGCGCTGCTCCCCTACGGTACATTTCATCCGGAACATCGGCATTGTTGCAGGAGTGTAGCAACCCCGCTGCGGTGCCCCCTTCGGGTAAACACCGTTAGCGCTGCCGGTTAGCCCTGTTAGCACCTTTGGCACCGTTAGCTGCTAGTCGCGGTAAACATGTTTAGAGGCATTGTGTACATTTAAGATATAAGAAAAGGGTAATTCTGGTTTATTATAAGTTGGTTGTTTGTTTATTGTTTTTTAGGTTAATCGTTTCGGTCATCATTCCTATTAGAAAATAACAAAGTTGCACTCGGTAAACTTGAGCGTTTAGCTCTGTGAATACAGAGGCAAAGAAAGAGGGATGTTACCAAAGGACTTCCTGCTTCTGCTTTGACCTGCAGTACCGCTCTGTTGGATCACTGCAGCTTTGTGAACACACTTTTTTTCTGTGCAAAGAGAGATCACGTACCAACATTACAGGTTTACTCACGGTCAGTTTCACCTCGAAATAGCGAGGCCGGCGCTTTCCTTCAGCCGTCACATTTTGCCTTAGAGACGTTAGCCTGTTCTCAGCAACGACTTTGGTGAGCACAAACTCTGATTATCGAATGCTAACAGTTATTTGTCTGTCAGCACGAGCACCAGTTTCAGTGTGGAATAAACAGATTGCTCAACGGCTGGTTCAAGGCCTTTAGCTGGCGTATCGGCCAAACTCCTCTGCAGTGCTGCCTTGTGTTGTGCAAAGCCACCGTAGCAGTGATTTTCCTAGTGACTGATTGACCGTGTCAATTAGGTAGATTGCTAACAAATGGTCTGCAAGGTCATGAAATGTTCCATGTTTTTCAGATGCTAATGGGAAAGTGTGTCGGTGTCAATGGTCCTCAAAATCCAAGCAAACAATATGTTATTGAGCCAAACAGCACTTATAAGTTAATTGGTTTCAACATTTTAACTGTTGGGAGTTTTTTTTGTCATTTCTAATGATTTAAATTTAGGAGAGGAGAATATTACATGAACCAAAAAAGTGCATGCTTCACGTATGTCATTGGATTTATATGGAACGCAAATTGAATCAGCGGGCCTCTGTTCCCCCGGCCTGTCGGTGAAGAGCCTTTCGCTGTCACACATAATCCAAAGCGTTCGGTATAATGTGTTTTTATTTCCACACGAGACAAGCACCAGCTGCGAACCTGTTCGTCCCTGGTGCCGAAAGCGCAAATATATGAGCACTTCATAGGCCGACCGATCATCATATCCGTGCCGAAGGTCCTGTTACAGAGGTGTGCGGGAACAGGGATGCTGTTTATTTTGATCTGCCTTCAGGGTCCTCGCCACGTTCACGGCCACTTTTGTTTGTGCGCTTGTTTGCGAAGGGTTGAATGTAATAAAGAGGCGCACACACGTCCGTGGATATGAGTAAATCCGGGACGTTTTAAGCGCGTTAATAGCTCCCTGTCACAGACGGGCGGCGCGTCGTGCAGCCTGTGCTCGCGCCGCGGCCTCGTGCGTCACAGGGAGATAAAGAAAAAGAGCGAGGGGGCGTCATACGCATTTTCCTGAGACGGTGAAAATGTTTAGCCTTCGCTCTGTCTGTGTGTGTGTGTGTGTGTGTGTGTCCGCCCACTTGTAGCAGACTGGCGCTGGCCATGAGGGATTTCCTGCACAACATCCATTCGCTCAGCCATCGCGAGGCCCGCTTCGACACAGAGCGAAGTAATGCGGCGGGCCCGGCAAGATAGGATTGTGCGTCCCTCGTTGTCAGACATGAATCTTGCACAGACTGGTCCGTTGTCCTGCGACAACAAATAGCATGTGCCGCCCGCCCTTGCTAAGTGCGTCATTAATAGACGCACGTGTTTTCCTTTTGTTGACTCTACTTAATTCACCCCCCCCCCCCCCCCCACAAACTCCCCAAAACTCCCGTAACCCCGGGGTCAGGGGGGCCCCGGGATTCCACCCCCGAGTTTGAAAGCCATTTGCATGTGGCCACGCGCTTTGTTTTTATGTCGGTGTGTCTCGCTTGTGCGCCTGTATGTGTGTGAGTGCAGTGCACGGATGCATGCGTGTGTGTAAGTGCATGGCTATATGTTGTCTGTATGCTGGTTGCTTTTGTGTGTGTGTGTGTGTGTGTGAGAGAGTGTTTGCCTGGGCTCCTGTCTGTCTGACAGTGTCGGACTGTTCCTGTTCCAACCCCCCCCCCACCCCCCTTTCCCCTCTCCGTCTCCTTGTCTCTTGCACTCCCGGTGTCTTTCTCTCTCTCCCTTTTTCTATCACCCTTTCACTCTCCCTCTCCCTCATCCTCACCCGCTCTCTCGCTCTCTCCCTCCTCTTCCCTCTGCATAACAGTGCTGACCTAGTTTCTGCCTGTTCAGGGCTGCCTGTGGAATTTTACAGCGGCCTGCCTTCCTGGCCGCTTTGCCGCTTGAAAACGCAGGCAGAAAAGCATGACTGAGGATTTTTTTCTTCTGGAGGCATCATTACGGCCTTATACTGTCTCCGAGCCTCTCCCCAATACGCAGACCCTGAATAAATCGACCCATTTCAAATAAGTAATAACGGCAAATTGCCCATCACGCAAGAATCTTGAGCCATCTCGTGTATGGGGGATTTGAAGCAGGGCTGCATCCACCACCATGGCAGTCAAATTAAAATGGAAATGAGAATAGCCCGTCGCCCCATCTCCTGCAGCTTAGCTGAGATTGTACCGGATGCAGAGGACAGAAATACACCCCTTCTCTGCGCACATGCATGCAATCTCCCTCCCTTCGTCTGTTCCCCTCTTTCCTTCCCTCCCGCCTGCGCCTCCACAAATAAATGGTCATGCCCGGCAAATACCAGCCGACGCCAGGAATGGCTAACGCGGCTCTTGCTCAAACAGCAGGAGAATGGGACTATTTTTACGTGCGCACTTCGGGCCGTGGATCTAAGTCAACACTCTGAGGGAATCTTGATTAAATCTGAACGCCTTCCAATTAAGCACGGGGAATGTTGTGTCACAGCCGAGCGAGATGGGTCTCTGGAATGCCTTTCCAAAGGCTCGGTTGTGGCACGCTGAAATCTAAACCAGCACTGCCGCAGATTCATTCCTTCCCCCTAACCCTCTCCCTCCTTTCACTCACCATTCCTGGCCGAGCTCACAGAGTTCAGCCTTGCCGGGGCCGTTAGTTTTCTTTTCCGCTTCTCAAAAGTGTTCCACGAGCGTCACGGCTGTTAATGCAGAAGCTTTGGGCGTATATAGATGTTAATTCTTTGCTTGATGTAATTTCCATGTTGTGTGTGTGTGCGTATTAAGATGTTTAGAATGCTAATACTGTTATACCTAATGCTATACTTTCTGGTTTCTCTTTCAGATTTCGGGTGCTGGTCATGGTGTCCGGTGAGAAGGTGTGGGACCCCCTCCACGCGGGCCTTGTTCAGTCACGTCTGAGTGAGCGACACCTGGCTGCCGGGCTAACTCCCCTCTGCAATATCAGACAAAGTGCAACTAAGAACTCGTGCCAACAGAGTCAGCGGTTGTCATCCCTGTCTTCCCCGCCACTGTCATTGGTGGCCGTAGACGCCCTTCAACCGGTTCGGGCCTCCTCGCCGTCACACCTCCCCGTCCATTTCCGCTGCCCGGGCAAGATCAAAGGGCTAAACAAACCAGTCCACTGTCTTGGAGTGGCCTCTCAGTCTGAGGAAGAGGAGGAGGAGGAGGAGGTGGGAGGGGAAATTGAGCAGTTGGAGATGAAGGGTAAAAGGTATGGAGGCCGTGGAGAGGCCATGACGGAGGACGGGCTGGAGGACATGGCCGATGGACCCAAAAATGCAAAAATCACTTTAAGCTTCCCACTTAGTGCCGCCCCACTCCCAGCCTCCCTGACGTCTCCAAACCACTGTCGTAGCTCTTTATCATCCTCCCCTTCCCCGCACCGACGGCGGCCATCCTCCAAGAGCTCAGACGAGGGGTCGCTGTGGAAACTGGACGCTACTATGGACGTTAAGCACAGACCATTTAAGCCCCCGAGGCGCGACAGCTCTCCGTCCTCCTCCCCTTCCTCCTCCTCATCTCCCATGGCTGGTCATGCCCTTAGTAGGAAAGACATAAAATCCCCGCCTCCTCTGAAGTGCTCCAAACTCAATCCCGAGACTCAGATGCACAGGTCACCCCAGCGATCCTCCAGCGGGTCTTCAGGTGGCTGCTTTGGCGGCGATGGATGGGACGAGAAGCACAGGGTGGCCGACGGCACAGCCTCACCCTCTCAAACGGCTCAGATTCTCTTCAGTCTAGGCACATCGGCCTATCAGAGAGGCGGGGATGCAGAGAGGAGAGAGAAAATGACAGGCAGACCTGTTGGGAAGGTGGGAAACTCCCACGGACCAAGTCTTCATCCACCCGCCCTCCACCTTCCTCCCCCCTTACCGCCTCCTCCTCCTCCCCCATCTGAGGGTCTCACCGCACCGCCCCACTCGTCCTCCTATCCGCCCACCGACAGCCTGAAGCCCGAGCTGATTTGTGGGGTGTGCCATCGGCTTTTCAGCTCTGCCTCCTCCCTGACAGTCCACATGCGGCTGCATCGTGGCAGCCGCGCCCTCAGCTGCTGCTATTGTGGCAAAGTCTTCATCCACAGCAAGAGACTGCAGTCCCACGAGGCCTCCTGCAGGGTGCCGGGCCTCCCCTCCAACAGCTTGGGGCCTCCTTCTCTCACCGTGCAGCCAAAAGAGGAGCCGCTGGAGGAGGGTGAGGTGAGAGTGGAGGGTGGCGTGATCGTCGGACAATCAGACATGAGTAAGGTGCGGCCGGGGAAGAAAGCACGGAGCCTCCTGGCACGTATCCAAGGTGATGATGCAGCAGCCGCAGAGTTACTAGCGGGTGACGAGCACCATTTTGTGAAGGTGGTAGATGGGAATATCATTTACTTTTGCTCCGTGTGTGAACGTTCCTACATGACCCTGTCCAGCCTGAAGCGTCACTCTAACGTGCACTCATGGCGACGCAAATATCCATGCCATTTCTGCGACAAGGTCTTCGCCCTGGCTGAATACCGCAGAAAGCATGAGGTGTGGCACACAGGAGAGCGACGCTACCAGTGCATCTTCTGCTGGGACGCCTTTGCCACTTACTACAATCTCAAAACACACCAGAAGACCATTCATGGGATTAATCCCAGCCTCATCTCCAGTGAAAAGACAGCTAATGGGGGTTATAAGCAGAAAGCCAATGCCCTGAAACTCTACCGCCTCCTCCCCATGCGCTCCCAGAAGAGACCCTACAAGACTTACAGTGACAGTTTGCATAATGGCCTGCTACTCCCACCAACTGAGACACCATCCCTCTCCCTGCCTGGCCTGGGCTGTCCTCTGGGCCCTGGGGACCTACAAAGTCTCATCAGTGGGACCCACCCTCAGAGTGTTAAGCCTGACCCAGATGACTTCCCTGATGGCTTCCCCGTTTCTGCTGAGCAAGGGGACCTCTCCACCCCTAGGCCCTTCCCCCGAGCAGATGTTCCCCAAGTTAGAAAGCATGAGAGTGAGGCCTCAGAGTTAGAGCAGGGTAAAGGCAGTGGCAGCTTCAAAATGTCAAGTAGCAGCAAAACCAAAACTCCTAAGAGCGGTAGAGGCACAGACACGAGCATGCCTTCTGTAATAACTTATGGCCATGCGAAACCCTCCGTAATAGTTCACGGTATGGCAGTGTCATCGTCCGTCATTGTGCATAGCAACCAGGTCACCTCTGGAAGTGAAAAAAGCCCAATGAGCAGTCCATCCCCTGACAACAATCAGGCTTCACACAAGGGTATTGCCAAGCCAATCAAAAAGCAAAGGGATGGTGCAGATAACCATAGAAAGAGGTCAAGAGACAGTTCAGATACCACAGTGGGGGGCTCGGGAGGCAGACAGAGTGAAGAGACAGGCAGATTATTCCACAAATCACGTAAATCCCACAGCAAGAGTGACATCTCTAACCCAAAGCAGCTGTCAGCGTCTGTAGGGTCACAGGTCAAAGAGGCAGGGCCACTGTGCCAGATCACTGTACGTATTGGCGAGGAAGCCATAGTGAAGCGCAGCATCTCTGAGACAGATCTTAGGAGAGACAAGAGCCTATCTCCACCTAAAACCAAACGGAGTGAAGCATCGTCCATGCGGGAAGGAAAGGAAACACGTCACTCCCATCACCATAAACACCGCCTCCACCGCAGAGTCAGCTTGGAAGACGACGGTGAAAAGGAAGGAGGAGATTGTGAGGAGGAGGAGGAGGAGGAGGAGGAGGAGGTGGTGGTTAGGAAAAAGACCTCCAAGTCCCCTGATGAAGGAAGGGGGTACTATTTCCGTCGAGAGGTGCGTGATCAGGACAGTGACCATGAAACGGAAGATAATTTATGGCGGCCTTACTACTCCTACAAGCCTAAGAGGAAGGCCCAAGCACATCTACAGAGGGTCAAGAGCTGGCAGAGGAAACTGAAATTCAAGCGCTCCATCCGGTTGAAGAGGACAGAGAGGCTCAAGAACCACGTGAATAAAGAGACAGAGAAATCACAAGATGAAGAAGAGGACGAAAAGATTGGAGATGCTGAAAAACTGTCAAATGCTAACACGGACGAGGGAGAGGAGATAAAGAAAGATTACCTCCCTGACTTTTTGAAGGAAAAAAATAAAGACCCAGAAGAACAAGTTAAGCAGATATGTCACGAGGTTCCTACTCCTCTTCTGCACTCTCCAAAGTCTCCTCTGTCTACCTCAGTGGCCCCTACGGGAATAAAGAGGCGGCCTTGGACTAACGGGAATGCGGCAGAGTGCGGTACATGTGGCTGCTGGTTCTCAAGCCCCAGGAAGCGAGACAAGCACGAGCTGAGCCATCTGCTGGAGTTTGTGTGTCTCTTTTGCAGAGCCACTTTCCCCTCAAGGGATAAGTTGGAAGATCACCAGAGAACCCATCACCCCAAGCCTACTGAAGCACCTTCCGTACCCCATAAAGTGGCCCTTATTGAACCAGCTGAAGGGATTGTCAATACAGCTGTGCCAGAGATTGTAAAGTACGATGAAGAAAAAGGGGGGCAAGTAGCCTCAGTAGGGTGTAGTTCTAGTCCAAGTCGCCTAAGCAGAAGAGCATTATCCCGACACACCTGCCCGCAGTGTCACAAGGTGTGCAAGACATCTTCCGCACTAACTCGTCACATCAGACGCCATGAGCTAAGCAGTTCCCCAGAGAGAGAAAGGGAAGAAAATAACTCTGAGCCAAAAACAGCACAGATGGTTGTTAACACTGTCAGCAGAGACCTAGAGACCGAAAAGGGCCCGATTACCTGCGCTGTTTCAGTTATCAGCTACTCGACACCGGACCCCCCCAGCAGCAGTGACTGTTTGGCATCACAGCGGCGTGACGACCATCTCGGTGAACTCGCAGATGAACATCAAGTGTCACAATCCAGTGGCAGACCTGAACTAACCGAGCTCTCACATCCAGCTCCAGAGAGAGAGCCCAGCCTACCAATTGCAAAACTCCCATCAGAAAGTCCTGGTAACCTTATTCCCACTAAACACAAATTCCCACCTGCCCCACCACCCTCTGTCCTCCAGAGTGTGCTCGTTATGAACGGACCTGAATGTCTGGACTACCGCACCCCGGGCAAAAAGAACCTAGACGGCCAACTACACAGAATACCCAGCCCCATGCACATCGTGGCATCCACCAACACCTCTCTGAATGTGCCCATGACGTCACAGACCCAAATAACCACTGCTGCTCCTCCTGTTTCCATGACAACAGCTCTCGGCTCCGAGGGGGGATTCGTGAAACGGGATGGGGTCATTATGGACAGAGAAAGGCTGAGTGGGAGTGGTATGTTTGCGCACGTGGGTTATGAGGAACCACACCGGATACAAGATCTCAGAGTTCAGTCCCTGTCCAGGAGCCCCTCTCCCAACGAAGCACAAGACCTGACCATGTCCTCTATTCTCGCTAGAGAAAGGGAGATGGAGAGGCACAGAGAGAAGGAGAGGGCGCTGGGGAGACAGAGAGAAAGGGAGAGGGACAAAGAAATGGCCAAAGAGAGAGAGAATGAGATAGAGAGGGCACATCAAATGAGTAGAATGGCGCACACCCCACAGGACCAGATTTCTCTGTTGGTCCCTAAAGAGGAGCCCTTGAGCCCTGTGCCGTCCCCCCAGCATATTCCCACTCAAACCACTATGAATGGATCCTCCTCACACAGGCACACTCCCAAATCCCCCTGCCGATCCCCTTCAACTATTGGCCTTCTAGCTCAAGGCCTCCGCCAGGTTCATTCCAGTTCACAAGGACTCGACAGGCTCCCTCTGCCCACCGCAGCAGCTGGTGCCGGCGACCGCCCCTCTGCCCACGCTCTGCTTCTCCCCCGGGCCCCCCAGTCACCCGAGCCGGAGCGCCGAGATACCGTTTCTTCCGAGGATTCGCGGCAGCGGAACCCCACCCCGGTGGGCTACCATGCCCAGAATTACCCCCTGCCCCTCATCGTGCCGGACAGCTACCACTCTGGTAAGAAGCAGGAGGAAAACTTGCTCATGTCCTCCTATCCTGCAGGAGCTCTTCCTTTTGGCCCACTGGGAAAAATGATGGTCCCAAATGCCGGGGACCTGGCTAAGCTGCCGTTTTACCCAGACCCTTACCAGCTGCTGTACGGGCCCCAGCTGCTGGCCTACCCCTATAACCTCGCGGCTCTTCCTGTGGCTCTGAATATGATGGCACCAGGGAGGGACAAGGTGGAGACTCTGCCTTTCCTCCCCGCCATCTTCAACTACGCAGCCGGGCCGTATATGGGCACGGCCCCTCACCACTTGATGGCAAATCCCAGCCTCTACAGCGGCGGGGGCGGTGGCGGTGGCGGCGGCGGTGGCAAGAAACGAGACAGCAGCAGCAGCAAACCGTAGGACACGGAAGCACTCTTGAGGAATATGTTTCACCGGGGAGGACCTGGCCCGCGGGATGGGAGCTGGGATGGGTGGGGGCTCACTGGGTCACTGAGTACACTTGCACAGTACCCCTGCCTCTCAGCAGAGATCAGAGCTAGGCATTATATCAGGAGTGAGTCGAAGGGAGGAGAAGGAGCAAAGAAGCGGGAGAGTGGCCGTTACTGCGGCGGTGATCACGCCTCCCCTCTCTCTACTCTTTCTCCCCTTTCTCTCCGCGTCTCTCCTGTCTCGCTGTAGTGTGTCGTAGTTCTAGAGCTTGATTAATCTTCCTCTCTGACTCATTATATTATCTATAAGAATAAGAACCGCTAACAGGGTGTGTGTCGTGAACAATTAGTCCAGTCTGCTTCCCTTTATAGTCGCCGCATAGCGAGGATAAACGCTCTTCAGGGGCCGGCTTGTGTGGGCAAGGAGGAGGGAGGAAACGGAAGAGTCCTCGCTGAAATGCAGTTGAAGGTAGAGCATTAAGCAGATCGAGCCTTGCGTCATATTTTCTGTGAGCGAAGGGAGATCGCAGGTGCATCCTGTCGTTTTGCTGTCCATGAAAGCTGTATATGAGCATGTACATGCACATGTATGTCGGTGATTTGTGCATGCAGAGGTGGGCTTATGCAGGTAATACTACTTGTGTGTGTGTGTGTGTGTGTGTGTGTGTGTGTGTGTGTGTGTGTGTGTGTGGGCGGCAGTGTGTGATGGCCAGTTCATTCCGTGTGAGACTTGCGCAGCATTCCTGCTCTAGTTGGAATAGCTACTGTCGGTCAATATGTAGAAGTGCATTTAGAAGCGATTCCTCATATCCAAATCATGTAAGAAGTCAACGCTTTGGCTGGACGAGAGTCAATGACGATGACAGATCGTCCGAGCTTCAACTAACCTGGAGACGTTGTGGCCGAATGGCACTGTAGGATCTGTATAGCATTTACCATTGTTTATACCTTATGTGCACAAAATAGAAAGGTAGTGGACACTTGTAGCTGCTTGGGATATGTAGCTGGCCACTGGGTAAGAGTTAGAGGCTGGTAGACCATTGCACTTCCGTTTTTCATCTCATTTCCTTTTACATTGAAAAGGAAAAGAATAAAAACTTGTTGGCCTTCACCTTGCATAAAAATGACGGCAAGGAAGGAAATAGAAAAATAGATTCAGGATATTTTGTTATTTCTGCATAGGAAAATACAAACGTGGGCACAAAACTGTTGGACTCTCGGGTCGAAAGGACCCACAGAAATGACTTTGGGGGACAAAAAACAATATGTCCTTCTCCCCAGCTGAGGGGGCATTTGAAATATCCCAAATTAATTCCCCCTCCTGCTCTGTGTCATTTACCAAGACGTAGGAAAAGGCCGAACTTAGCAGCCAAAGTGGTGGCCGAAACTCCCCGGGTGCACTCCTGGGGCCTTTTTGTTACGTGTAATGTTACCTGTGTTTGTTTCGTTAAACTATGTTGTTGTTAATGTGGTTTAGCCCTCTTACCTGATGGAAATGGCTTCGGTGAAAAGGGGGAGTAAACTTAAAAATATGAATGTAAATTTAGTCATGAGGTTAATGAAGTACAACTGCATTAACGGTAGAGTTGGTTTCAGTTCCTATTATTTTTTTTGCTTCTTTTTTTGACAAATAACCTGTTAAAGAACCGTATAACGTCTGGTATGCATATATACAGTAGTCCTAGGAACATGTCAGTAATCTTGGGTTCTGTATCCACAAAGCATGAGCAACACTTGCTTCCTAACCGTTTATATCCTCAGCAAATCCGTGCGCACAGCTTTTGTTACTTTTTGATGTTTTCTGGTTCTCTTCATCTTCCATATCTCCGATATGTTTGTTGTTATTTACTATAGAACACAGTTTGGAACACTTTCCACAAAGCTTCCACAATTACACCATACAGTCACTATTTAGGAGCTTTTAAATTATCCCTCTTCCCTCTAGCACCTTCTCTAAAGTACACATATTTCACTGTACGTGTGAGCGTGTGTGTGTGTGTGTGTGTGATGGTGACGGGGCGCCTTTTGGTTTCGGGCAGGTGTGTGAAAAACACTTTCTGACCAACTGCAAGGGTGCACCAGCACCCCCTCGGGTGTGGTCTCAAGCCTTTTGAGTGCGGACGTACGTGTTTTGTGTACAAATGTGAGTGACTGCGCGAATATGAAAACCAAAATAAATCTGTCTGACCTTGGCATATGGGCCACCTTTTTAATTTCTTTTGTTCTTTGACACTTTTCTGTGGGTTAGTTTCAGTGTAAAAAAAAGCCCTGTTCTCTCCAATTCGCTATCTTAAGCCATTCCTGTGGACATGTTTTTTTTTTTTTTTAGTTTTTGGACCATTTCTTATGCCATAGTTTGCCATCATGGTTATCATACAGACCAAAAGCATGCAAATCAACGTATTGTAGTGACTGGACTGGAATCTGGTGGTAATATACAACTATTTACTGTATGTTTTAGTTCATATGAATGTGCCTCTGCTTTGATATTTAAGTACTGATCTATAGTAAGATGTGGACCTGCCAGATTTCACCCGTTGAGGTGCCTTGTTATGGCATAAGAAATTTGAATGGTATCTGAACGTCTTCTTGAGAAATGGCCGAATGATTTGGAGATGGATATCACGGCTTTGTTTGCTACGAAGCTGTTCATAGATCACGTAGGGACGTGGCTAAACTGGTTTGGTATCGTGTACATGTCTAGGGTAATACTGTGCCATATAGAGCCCACAAAATATGTTAATGTTATTTTTAAAAGATGTTTTAATGTTGCCTGATGACTTTGTCTCTAGATTTGATACAAAGGCTTGTAGCCACAGATCTGTAGTCTCCTTTTATTCCAACATTCTTCCTTTCTTCTCTCTCTCTCTCTCTCTCGCTCTCTCTGTCCCCACTTGTTTCCAGCTCCCTTTCTTCCTCTTTGCTGCAATCAAACAAAATAAAGTATTAACCTGATGACCCAATGAAATCAACTCGAGTCTGGACTCATGTTTTTTTGTTGTTGTTACGTCTCCATTAATCTTCGAAAAGTTGATCTTGATCATTTCCTGATATTTTTCCTTTAACCACAGCATTCTAGACACATAAAATAGAATATGTGCAGAAGGTTTGTTGCCCACACGTGAAGCAGAGGCCGATCGCTGCTTCCCCTCGGCAGACAGAGGGCCGGTTTCTTACCGTCGTTGATGGAAAACTTTCCCGCTAGTGACACTCGGTGGTTTGAACAGAAACTGTCGGCATGGTGACTCACTCATCTTTGATGTCAGCGATGAATTGATAACTAAAACATGAATGAATTAACTTGAATAGGTTTATCAGAAATATTTATCATGAAATGTCAAGAGAGTGTGCATGCCGGCCTTAGGGATGGTTTGAATTTAATCTACAGTGCTTCTCTTGCCAATAACAAGTTCATTTTTTGCCAAGAAATGCATAAAGTCATCACAGCGTATGACATTAGCATATGTTATACCCAAATGCCCCAGTAAGCCACAGCAATGGGCAATACAAAAACTCACCCGGCTAAATGAAACGTTTTAAACCTTTAGCGTTCCCTAATAGGAGGACAAAAATCAGGTCTGGTGTGAAGAAAAGGCTTACTTGCGGTACGCACTGTGACAATAGGTGTTTGTCACACTGCGACTTGGTGTGATCCGACATCTCTGATTAACATCAAGAAGCCGAACAACAGATTGTTCGCTGATTGCTCCTTTCTGTGTGTTTGTGTTTTGCACTTTTCCCAGTATTCCCATGTTATCGCAGTCTTCCTGGAAGGAGACTGGGTTACAGGAACCCTGCCAGCAGAAGAGGGGGAGGGGAGCTTTGGGGGACGGGGGGGGGGGGGGGGGGGGGGGCTTGAAACACATCGCCACTCTCGTCTCTTTCTCTCCTCTTAACTCTGCGACAAACACGGAGTCATAAAGCAGCCGGGGTGAATCGAGCTTGCTGTTTAATGGGTAAACACACAGCACTGGTCTGGCTAAGGTCACTCACCCGGGCTGCAGTGCCCAGCCACCGGATTTATAGCAAGATGGTAATGCACACTTAATAAAACCCCAAAAAAACATTTCAGAATTCTGCTGAATTTTGAATTATTTCTAAAATTACAACTCCTAACTTTCAATCTGCTCTATATTTGTTTCTCTCGCTGGCCACTGTGTCTTTCGCCCACCTACATGTTAGTGAAAATGTGCTCGCCGCCATGCGCCCGCAAAGCACTGCCTCCTGGGGATCGATAACCTGCGCTGCCTGTGGCAAATCTGCCCTCTGGACCCCAGGACAGTGTGCCAGCACACACACACACACACACACACACACACACACACACCCACCTGCCTCAGCCACTGCTGAAGTGCCTCTCTGCTCCTCGTCACACCTCTTGACACCTCAGGTTAGCGCGGAGTTAGCAGACGAGCCCGAAGGCCGAGGAGACTGCACAGAGGGAGGCCCGGGTGGACGAATGCGCTGGAGGATGGCGAGGTTTGGTAAAACGATGGCGGGTGGACTGCTGCTCTCGCTGAGCCTCACTCTTCTCGGGTGGGGAGCGGAGGGGCAGGGGAACGGACGGGGTAAGGTATGTTCTGCAACGCTGCCATTGTGATTCTTGGAATAGTCAGTGAACTGGTAAAATTACCGTCTACCTTCTATTTTGTCGTCTACAGATCATGTATGTCAATTACAGTATATAAATGATAGGAACACATGAGAAAAAAAGAGTAAAATATAATATAAATATGATGTAAATGGCATTTTGAAGCCATTTTCTTCTAATGGTCTTTGTTCACTTTTAGGAAGTATAAGTACTCTTGGCCGCTCAGGCAATTCAAATAATATTGAAATAGTTTTCTACAGCTTTATCTGTATTAATAGTTTTATAAAGTGTAATATAAAAGCTAATGTTAACCAGTACAAACAAACCGAATGAACCCCTACTGTATGCACCTCCGATGCCAGTTGATGCGGGGTATCCCAGATGCCCTGGAAATTTTAGACTTAGGACTTTGCTTAGTGGGAGGATGACTCAGTGCCACAACCACAGCGCCAGCTGTTTTCACCCCACTGAAGGACTTTTTGCACATTTAGTTTCATGATGGACATTTTCTATTGATAAGCTGCAGAATGATGCCATATGGCCCTCTTGTCAGTGACTTAACATTGATTTTGCAATTCATTACCACGGGAACGTTCTTTGTTAAAAAAGATAATCAAATTCTTTGGTTGAATCAATAACGGAAATAAAAAACCAGCCCACGTTTTGAAATGGTTTTAACCACTAACCAATCAAGATATCTGACGAGAGCAGGTTTTAATGAATATTAGCCGTGCGAAGAATTAAAAGAGCTGAAGCAGCAATTCCATGTGGACATTGTGCCCTCCAGAAGGAAGTATCAGGCGGGACTACCGTCTACCTCGGCCAGGACAGAGACACCTGGAGGCCGCTGATGCACACAAGAGTGAACCTCAATGACATCCGCAGGTACCACTGCACCATGCGAAACCCACAATAACACCTGGAAATATGTGACGTATGAGGCAAAGCATGCCAGGGAGAATGTATGGAAGCAAGTAGGAGGTATAACGGGGAATTCTGGAAGATCTCCAGTTGTAGGGCTAGAACTATCACTACTTCTGTGCCTCTGTCAGTGCCACTGTTCTGGGTAAGAATGAGACAAAATATTCTTATCCAGATTTAAAATGCAGCTGTAGAAGATAAAAAGTTGGAAGAATCGTCCAGCGATCCCTTGAACGTGACTATTGGGTTCTGGTGTCCACAGCATCAAGTCATCCTTTCATCTACGGACATTTGACCCAGAGGGGACCATTTTCTACGGAGACACCAAAAACGGGAAGGACTGGTTTGTTTTGTCCCTGAAAGACGGCGTCCCGCTGATGCAGATCAGCAGAGGAGAGAGCCTGGTCAGCGTGGCCGGAGGCCCAAAGCTCAACGACGGGAAATGGCACATGGTGAGTGCAGCTGCCCCGATACCTTTTGAACAACAGGGCCCGGGAAACAAGTCATTTTGCATAATAACCAGACAGTTCAAACAATGTACATTGTGCTCCTGGTGCCACGAAGCTGGAGGTGAGCAACCACGAGCCCTTTGTGGTTCTAGAGGTGGATGGCTCCAATAGGATGGTGGTGGGCATGGAGTCCAACAGGACAATGGAAATCCTTTCAGGTGAACTTCGCCTGGCCCTTGGTGGGATCCTGATCGACAGAGAACAGATGTTTGTTCAGGTACAGTACGCTACTTCACCCTCGGAGACGTTACAGTAGTTTACGTGTTTCTTTCGGTCCTGTTGAATAGATTTACATCATTTTCAAAAAGAACCCGTGAAATCAAGACAAACTTGTCCTGAAGTCACCGCGGATGAAACCATTACAGGGACCGAGCTTGGATAGCGGCGGATTCTTGCCGACGTCAACGAAGCAAACCTCATCCAGTTGATTGATACATTTTGAATATAGTTAGTGAACCTTGAGATAGGATTATTGCTGGTGTTTGAAAGCGGGTGACTATTTAATGGCTGCATTGCAATTGCTGAGATTATTGTCAGCCTCTCTCCCTCTTTTATTAATGAATGTCGGCACCAAGTTAAGTCCAAAAAGCACAAAAAGAAAAACCACCCCCACGATGTCTGACCCCAAAACCCTTGTTTTCTGCGCCTCATCTCGCTAAATGCATTCTTGTCGTCCGTTGCCGTAGCTGCAGCCGCAGATGGATGGCTGTGTGCGGGACGGCAGCTGGCTGAACGTCAGCACCCCCTGGGAGTCAGAGGTGGAGGAGCTCTGGCCCTGCCATGCAAACATCCAACCTGGAAGCTACTTCCCGGGCTCCGGATTTGCCGTTTTTAACACCTCAGGTGCAAACGTTGCGCTGTGCTGGTGTCATTTTGTAAACTCACATGCTCCTCGTAGTAACATGTGTACTTTTAATCTGTATTCAGATCAGATTCATCTTTTGAATTTTGAACTTGTTCTCTACAGTTTTCCCATTTGAAGCAGATCAGAGGGTCAAGATGGAATTGTGGGGAGATTTCAGGAAGATGGATGGGACCATTTTTAGCATCAAGGCTTCTGGGCAAAAGCTGTTGTTCGCTTTGGTGGCCAATAATAACACAAAGGTATGCGCGGGACAAACTGAAACACAGATCGGAGACCATTAGCGCTTCATCCACAGAGTCCTTATATTTCTTCCTTCTCTCCCTCTTGAATTGGCAGGAAATCACACTCACTTTCGGAGAGGAAAACATCACCATGAAAGACACTTTCAAGAGGCTGGTGATAATCTTTCAGACAGATTTACTGCAAGTGCTTCGAGATGGAGACAAATCAAACACCACTACGTTACCCATCAATCCAGTGAGCCACCCCGGGTATTTCACCACATGGAAAGAGGGTCGTCTCGCTGTTGGAGGTCTCCTAGGTGAGATTAAACCGCAACGATGAGCGTTTAATCATGTGTTTGAAAAACGGTCCGTAGATTCGGCATCAGTCTGGATGCCTTCAAACGTAAGATTACTAGATTACTGGTCAGAAAGAGGATTTGATTTGCATACAGGGTTCATTCAAAAAACACACACAATGAAAGATAACAAAATAACTTAGATCAAGTCCCAAATGAGTATATATATCCATGAATAAAATACCTTATAGGCCAGAAAAGGAGCATGGTGAAGTGCATTAAGGGCACTCGGTTTTCATTCGTTTCTTTTCCATTTTTCAGGTGAGGACGGTGTTGGCTCCCAGTTTTTGACCGGCTGTCTGGAGAAGATTCAGGTTCAAGGGAGGGATTTAGATCTGGATTCAGCTGTCAAACACATGTCAATCTCATCTTACAGCTGCCCGGCATAGACCACGAAACGACCCATCTTTGATTTGCAGAATCCGTGTTTTGCATTGGATCCCTTTGGGTACATGAACAAAACCAAAAAAAAGGTTTGGAAAGGGAAAGGTTGTCTGCTAATAGTCGACCTGTAGTTGAATGTGGTATTTGACCCATTTAACCTCTAAAATGTGAAGAATTATAAGAACAATATGTAATCCAATAGATATCTATTTAATTTACCTCGTTTGAACGGAATAGGTCAATTAATCTGGGGAATGTAAATTGTTTTGTGACCTCGGCACACGCAACAGTCTATTTCTAAATAGGAAATCATCTCCTTAACGCGGCCATCGTTAGGTTTAAATTTTACTGCTGCATTTAGGGCGAATTAAAAATTGTGCTTTGGAGGAGATTCAAACACATAACTAACGTAGCTACTGAACGGGGTATGAGTATGACTTTGATTTAAGACATGGATTTTGCCCCCTCTAGTGGATTTTTAGCGATAATATTAGTTACTCTGTGTATAATAATATATATTGTTATATATAGAGAAATGGTGTAGAATTTTAAGAAATAACATTCAATTGTCATAAAGTTGATGTGTAATTAATTTGTCTGGTAAATTCATTGTTTGAGTTGATTAGACATGGAAGGAAGAAAAAAAATTGCCATCAAATGACTCAAAATCTTAATTATCATTTAGATTTTTGATGTTTCAAGATATTACTGTGGATTAAAAATGCACCTAGAAATAATGTGTATTAGTGTATATTGTGTTAAATTATCTTACAATGAAGGACCATGTATTTACAAAATTCAACCTGTTCTTGCAGAAACGTTTATAGCATTCATTGTTATTATTTATAATATAACTGCCAATAGGTTAATTACACATTAATGAAACAAAACGCATGAAAACAATGGGAAAGCAATCTTTTACCATTTTGCTCAACCAATAAAATCCCAAATTCTTCAACAAACATTACATTAAGTTATATTTAGACTAAAGGAAAAAGGAGAACAAAAACGAGTGTGTATTTTGTTCATACGCCTAAAAAACACGAACCCCACAATTTCTATAGAGTTAAAGTTGGTGTTCGATTCATATTTTTTCTTAAAATAGTTCACGTGTTAAGCTGCAAATAGAAGTTGTATGAAGTCAAACAAAAATAGGTTTTATGGTAGAATACATTTTACACAGAACTGGGTGCGGTGCAGGGTGCAGCCAAGTCGTATCGATTACAGTAGTCTACCGGCTCGCTGCCGTAACGCAAGCAACTGTCGCAAATCCCCACTGTCGCGAATATTGGCCGCCCACTGAAGATGGCGGCGGAGCTGCATCCGCGGAGCGGAAAGCTGATCGGCCTGTCCAACTCGAACCGAACCGCCCGGCGCAACCAGCCAGTCCAAGAGTTCAACCACGGCCTGGTGCTTAGCAAGGAGCCGCTGAGGGACCGGGATGTCTTCACCGTGCGCATTGACAAAAAGGTAAACAACAACAGGCCCGCAGCTGCTGCTGACCCCCCTCCCCACACACACACACACTTGAGCCGGTGATGAGAGCCGCGGGAATGCGGGAGCCCTCGCTCGTAGGACGGGCCGGCGGTCCGACTCTCGCCGCGGTGAAGGGCGTTTCACGGTGCTGACCGCGGTCGGTGACGATGGTCAACGGGGTTGCGCTACGTACACCGAGACGCGTCAGTGACTGTCGCGAGCGAACGCGCCCCCGCGCGTGGATGCGTTTAAACGGATCAGTTGGCTAACGACAACCCGCTCGCGTTGCCTTGGTGCCGTCAGTTAGCCAATGCTAGCGAGCGGCTAGCGAGAGGGAGCGGCGCGCGCTGGGGGGGAGGGCTAGCCCTGGGCTAGCTCTTTTTACATGAGTTTATCTTACGACGTGCTCTGCCGTGCCTTCACAAGCACTTGCTGTTTTTTTTTTAATTCTACCACTGAGTCTCAACTAAGCTGTGATAAGTGTATAGTTTGTAAAGAGCCCGTGACGTAGGCGCCTGTCAGTCAGTCAGTCCGTACTGCGGTGGTCGTGCTGCTTGTATGTGTGGACCCGAAGCTGCACCCGAATCCGAACCGAATTAAGATCTTCTGACGTGGCCCCATCGCATGAGCTGTTTCACCTGCTATCTGTAAACACACGCTTCCTCCTCTCCCTGGTCCTTTATAACTCACTGCTCCTATACAATAACCTTTTGTGTTTATTCCCTTAAAGTATGCTCATCTCTTCACATAATCAACTCTGCAGTTCAGAGTGAAGTTGTTCATTTGTAATGTGAGGTGTGTGTGTGTGTGTGTGTGTGTGTTAAAAGCACAAATTAGATTCTTCCATTTTCCTCAAATGTGCTACGTTCCTGTCAATTAAACACAAGCGCTCATCCGTCCAGCGCTCCACGACTCCGGCGCCTCCATGTCGTGCCGATGCCTGTGCACTTAGTCGTTTATCGGTGCAGGAGATCGCGCCCGTATTAATGGCTTTTTGCTTCTTCGCCCCTGCCACCCGAGTTTGTCAACAACATGGCAGCTCTCGAGCCCGTGCCAGTGCCAACTGGGCCACACACACACACACACACACCGAATGGCCAAGCCGTACAGTTAGTTGTTAAGAAAACCCAACGCGACGAGGCCGAGCTGCATTTCAGCCGGCCAAGGTAAACATGAGGTTCAATAGCAGCTGATGATGATGCTGATGATGATTGTCCATCGCACACGGCGCTCTCAGCCCCGACGAAGGCTCTCATCCGCTCTTGAGATGACGCATGAGCAGCCTGTTTGAGAATCAATACTTTCCCATCACAGAGCAATCGCGTCGGCACGACTGCCCATCCTGCCCGCTGAGCTGTGGTGGACGTTGGAAAGACGGGTGGTGGATTGGACAAACGGTTTAGCCAGTCAGTTGTTTGGGGTTTTCTACAAAATGACAGAAGGCCAGATTCAATTTGAAGGTGTTACGGCTGGTGTTCTAACAAAATAACACCTTGTGTTAAGTTGATTTGATGATGGAAATAATCATAATTACTGAGCTATTTAATGCGAGAATTGCATTGGCGTTTCCACTAAACGGGGTCCGGCTTGGCCAGACGAGAAGCTTTTCCCAATCTGTACAGTCCTTTGCAGGGTTTCTCTTCCCTCTTTTCTAAAGCTGTCCAGTGGTCATAATATGCATGTATCCTGTAGTTGCTGGTCCTCAGAGAGAGAGCGAGACAAGCAAGACACCCACCGGCTGCCGTTACGTAAGTGAACGAGCGAGGCAAAGAGATGTCTGTCTCCTCCACACAGCGACCCGGTCAGGCTGAGTTACTACTAAATCTGTTAACCCAGATACCCGGGCTCTCGTGGCACACTGCCTCACATAGCACCACCGAGCACAGGGAGACACCATGGCTGCAGACGAAGGAGAGGAGGCCTTACAAAACGCCTCGCTTCAGCCGCGGACCAACCTCCCCGCAAGCTGGTACGGCATCGAGGACACGCTCAAGGTCACTTCATCCGGGAGGATTCCTGTCGACTTTAGCTGCCGTCCCGCGGGAGTGCCGTGAGAAAAAAACAAAAAAGGGGAAAAGGAGGCCGGCCGGCAAAAGTTTCAGACTACCTTTTGACTCGATTCTCATTCCTTTTCCCTTTTTTTTTCTTCCGAGGAACCAGCTGCGTGGCTTTTCGCCGGATGCTGCTCTCTGGGGAGGGAGGGGCGGCGGCAGGTGGATTTTTCTCCTCCTCCTCAGGCCCCCATCCTCCCCGTTTGTGTGCCCGGTGTCGGCTCTAATGTCTCTGTCTATGAATCTCCACCGCGCGGGATCTGAAGCTGACACGGCACTCATCCGCATCACGGAGGCAAAATGCGTGAAAAATAGAATTCCCCCTCCCCCAAGAACCCGAAGATCAATAAGGTATCAGGTTATCGTGAGCAGAGTTAGATGGACGCCCCAGGCTGCGTGTTGCCTGAAATGATTCCAATGTCGCGCAGAGACGGAAGGAGCTTCGCCGTGAAGCGTTTGTTCCTGGAGGTAAAGCTTTCGTGTGTGTGTGCGCGCAGGTCACGTCCCCAGCTGAGCCTCTGGCCGCCGTTTCAATCACGACACAGTTAGGGGGCCGAAAAACATGATTAGATGGGGCGGATAGGGGCGTTAGCTGCGACCGCCATCTGGCCGCTCAAGCACCCGAGGTAAATCACTTCTGGGTGACACAAGAATGAATGAAAGCCCCCAAAAAAGTAGGAACGGAGAGAAAGCTTCCAAAACTTTTTTTTTTTACTTCTTTGATCTCTTTCAGACGAATGGCCAAGAGGACAAAGGATAGGCTGGATATTTCACACACGCAGTACAGCAAAACCATAACGGGGATATTTGCACTCAGACGTACAGCCATTCAGCGCACGCGGCTCGCTGTTTGTTCCTCTGGTGTCGCTGTGAGTTCACACTGTCTTTATTTTCAAAGGAGCGCTTCCTGCGCCCGATGTTCACCGACAGAAAGTCTAAAAATAACGAGACGGATCATACAACAAGGCTCCATTTGTCTCCCATCGATATCTACCTGCAGGTTTTTTTCTTATTTTTTTTTTAGCTCCGCTCTCCCAACATCACAGCCGTGATGCTCTCACGCGGCGTCACTGCTGACGGCTCTTTTTCGCGGCGTCTCGCGGCTGCCGCTGACTCTTTGAGTTCCACATCTTTACTTCACTTCATTTCGTGCGCCTCTGCAAACGCGGCGCTTTGCAGGGACGTTACCTTTTAAGCCCCTCCTCTCCCTCCAGGTGAACTCGTGGAGCGGCTCCGTGGAGATCGGCGTGACGGCCCTGGACCCCGCCGCGCTGGACTTCCCCAGCAGCGCCACGGGCCTCAAGGGCGGCTCCTGGATCGTGTCGGGCTGCTCGGTGCTGCGCGACGGCCGCTCGGTGCTGGAGGAGTACGGCCGCGACCTCGACCAGCTGGCCGAGGGCGACCGCGTGGGCATCCAGCGCAGCGCCCGCGGCGAGCTCCACCTGTGGGTGAACGGGCAGGACTGCGGCGCGGCCGCCAGCGGCTTGCCGCCCCGGCTGTGGGCGGTGGTGGACCTGTACGGCAAGTGCACTCAGGTGACGGTGGTGGGCTGCGAGCCGCCGCCCGCCACGACGGAGAAAGAGACAATAGAACTGGGTGAGGAGGTGGAGGATGAGGAGGAGGACGGGGGAGAAGAAGAGGAGGACGAGGAGGAGGACGAGGAGGAGGAAGAAGACGTGGCGGTGTGTGGGGGTCAAGGCGACGGGGGCGTCGTGGCCTTGATGAATGTCGCAGCAATGAATGGAGACGAAGGTAAGAGGCCTTTTTTTTTTAATTAAGAATCGTAGCAGTTTTTTTTCCTTTACAACCTATTTTCTAGGAGTTATTTTCACTCATTGGAGATCTTCCGCAGTGCCTGAGCTTAGTCGCAGTCACAGCAGACCGGACAAGTTCCCCAACAACCTGGAGCCCGACACGGGTAAGAAGAGCCTCCTCGCGTCCGTCGATGCGCCTCGTGCGACGCGGCCCGGACTCACCGTCTCCTCTTCCCTTCTCTCCTCTTCCCTTCTCTCCTCTTCCCTTCTCTCCTCCTCCCTTCTCTCCTCCTCCCTTCTCCCCTCAGTTCTAACGGAGCACCAGCTCTTTGACGTGTTCAACAACGCAATAGTGTCTTTTTATCGCTCGGAGGACGAGGGCGGAGGGGATGATGGAGGAGGAGTAGGAGGAAACCCGGGATCCGACTCCTCCTCCAGGAATGACAGGGGGAGCAGCGGCGGAGGGGGTGCGGTCAACAGCGACGGTGGAACAGGGACGACGGGCGGTGCAGGAAGTGGTGGTGGAGGTGGAGGAGGAGCGGGCGGAGTCAGCGGAAACGGCAACAACAGTCCCGCCGGCAACGGAGGGGCCGGGCTGGCGGTCGCGCCCGGCGCCATGACAACCAACGACGCGCTGCTGTTCCACGAGAAATGCGGCACGCTGATCAAGCTGAGCAACAACAACAAGACGGCGGAGCGGAGGAGGCCGCTGGACGAGTTCAACAACGGCGTGGTGATGACCAACCGGCCGCTGCGACACAACGAGATGTTCGAGGTGTTTACAAATCACGCGGCTCGGTGCATTCAGAACTTTTTTTTCCCTCATTTTGTGTACTTTTCTTTCTTTTTTTTTCTTGATTTACTGTCACTGATTTATTGTTGAAGCCCCACTAGAAGTCAATCACAAATTCATTTATACATTTGAGAGTTGGGAGTAATGTGGGTCACGCAGGCACAAACAAAGAATGGAAAATAAAATACCAGGATGCTGTTTTAGTGATTCAGGTTTAAAAAAAAATTATTGATACAGTCAAATAATACAGTAATACATTTTAACAGCATTTTAATGCATTTTAACAGATTTTCAACAACGAAAAATAATTCCATGACCAAGAAAGGTGTAAATGTATTTCTGCGTGTATTTGTTCAGATCCGCATTGATAAGCTGGTGGACAAGTGGTCCGGCTCGATAGAGATCGGTGTGACCACACACAATCCCAACAACCTGGACTACCCGGCAACGATGACCAATCTGCGCTCAGGTAACACTCGCACGTGAACAGCACCATTAAACACAGCGGCTCCTTTGCGAAACGAACGACGTCCTCCCGATAGGTACAATCATGATGAGCGGCTGCGGGATCCTGACCAACGGCAAAGGAACCCGCAGGGAGTACTGTGAATTCAGCCTCGACGAACTTCAGGTGCGTAACGGCGCACGCGCACACATCTCCGTCTCACGCGCGCCAGGTTTCTTTTTCTGACCTCCATCGCCTGCTTCCCTCCACACTCCAGGAGGGAGACCACATAGGCTTGATGCGCAAGGCAAGTGGAGCGCTTCACTTCTACATCAACGGCATCGACCAAGGTGAGGCACGTGGAGGTTCTAAGCGAGGGATTGCGGAACGTGCACATCGGGTCAAGTGAAGGAGAGGGGGCGGGGATTTTTTTTAATTGTTGTTTACTTCCCAGGTGTCGCGGCAGCCCAGACGCCGGCCGTGGTCTACGGCGTGGTCGACCTCTACGGCATGGCCGTCAAAGTCACCATAGTGCACAACCACAACCACAGCGAGCGGCTCCGGCGCAACAACGCCATCATGAGGGCTCTGTCGCCGGACGTGGGCCGGCCCCGGACGGCTCTCTCCCTCACGCCGGACTCGGAGGGGCCCGACCGACTGCTCTTCCACAGCAACTGCGGCCAGAAGGCCGCCATCATCAGCGAGGGCAGGACAGCACTGCGGCCGCAGTGAGTCCACCTCTCTCATCACGTGCATCGTGACCTTTGCCGTAGAGGTTTAATAATATGATTATAAAAGTCAGCTTTACGCTCATCATGGTCTAATTCGGCTGATGGTATTTTTCATTTAGTTTATATGAGAGAACGCGTACAGTCCTCTACATACAACACTCGACTAAAGAGACGCATTCAGTGATGAACTCACCGGCTCAAAATAACCCGCTTCCCAGTGCGACGGATGACTTCAACCACGGCGTGGTCCTGAGCGGCCGGCCGCTGCGCTCCAACGAGGTGTTCCAGGTCCGCATCGATAAGATGGTGGACAAGTGGGCGGGTTCTATCGAAATTGGCGTCACGACACACAACCCCGCGTACCTGCAGCTGCCCTCCACCATGACCAACCTGCGCTCGGGTAAAGTACCGTGCTCTGTAAAAGCGGTATGCTTTTTCCTCTCCGTCTTTTCGGAGATACCTGATGGAAAAGCTCGATGTTCTAAACGTTGCATAAGTGTATTACTCTGCAAATGTGGGGGAGGTCTGTTTGTTTTTTTTACAATAGAGGTACCACAACAACCAACACCGTATTTGTGCGTTCTCGTTTTCCAGGCACGTGGATGATGACGGGGAACGGCGTGATGCACAACGGAACCACAATACTGGACGAGTACGGACACAACCTGGACCGGCTCAAGGTGGGTGACATTTGACCTTCCTTCAACCCAGTTTTTGTTGTTGTTTTTTTTAACCCTTTTCGCCGCCCTGTCCCCCCCCCCCCCCCCCCTGCAGGCAGGCGACACAGTAGGTGTAGTGCGAAAAGAAGACGGCAGCCTCCACTTCTTTGTGAACGGCGTGGCTCAGGGCCCGGCGGCCTGGAACGTGCCTCCCAGCGTCTACGCCGTGGTGGACCTCTACGGCCAGGCCGCGCAGGCCACCATCATGGACGACATGGGTGAGAGACGCAGGCACACAAACCCCCTTTTCAACCCGCAAAAATAGAAGATTTAACTTCCTTGTTGTTTCTTTTCTTTAGCGGACCTCCTGCCTCTCCCCGAGGACGGCTCAGACGGCCCCGCGGCCACGTCCCCCGGGAGCCCCTGCTCGGTAGGAGGGGCCGGCACGGCCAACGACCTGCGTTTCCACCACCTGCACGGCACCAATGCGGTGATCACCAACGGGGGGCGCACCGCCCTGCGTCAGAACTGCCGCAGCGAGTTCAACGACGCCATCGTCATCTCCAACAGGTGAGAGAACGAACATCACATCCACCTGCGGGCGGATGAAGCAGCGGGTAAAAATATCAACAAATACTAAACGGCATTCAGAGGGTTCGTTGTGAAGGAGCTGACTCGTGTGTTGACTCGTCCTCTCCCGTCAGGTGCCTTCGGGATGGAGAGCTCTTTGAAATCGTCATTCAGAAGATGGTGGACCGCTGGTCGGGTTCCATTGAAGCAGGTGAAATGTTTCTATTGGGTCAACTTTTCTAGCCGTGTTTTTTTTCCTACATGAATAAGTTAAATCGCAAAAATAACAAAATGCTGCCTATATGTGTGTGTGTGTGTGTGTGTGTGTCCTAACATTTATCTCTTTGTAAATATATTTCATGTGTAATCACCACAGATTTTCTCCTCCCCCCTCTGTGTCCAGGAGTGACAGCCATCAGGCCAGATGAGCTTGAGTTTCCCAACACTATGACTGATATCGACTACGACACTTGGATGCTGAGGTAGAACGTTAAGCTTTTTCTTTTACATTCAAATGACTCTCACCAAAAAAATATTATAAAATGTGTTTTCATCCAGCAAGGGAAAGAATATCAAATAGACATTTTCCAACATTAAAGTCTGTATGTCAGACAAGATGATAAAAGAAGAATTTTATCAAAATGAATGAACTTAAATATACATATTCCCACATATTCCGCAATCATTTAGTTTATGTAGTTTTTCCACGCCGATTTGAAGAAATGTAGTTTGTGGCCATTAACTCTTTTGTAACTTTTTGCTTGTCTTTTTACCCCCCAGTGGCACGGCCATCATGCAGGATGGCAACACAATGCGCAACAACTACGGTTGTGACCTGGACTCCCTGACCACAGGCTCTCGCATCGGCATGATGCGCTCAGCCACCGGCGACCTCCATTATTACATCAACGGGGTGGACCAAGGTGTCGCCTGCACCGGCCTGCCGCCAGGTAACCGCGAGGGGACGTTGGAGACTCTGGGGGCGCCGCGAGGGGAAACGCTTGATGACCTCGTACTTCATCCGCGTCTCCCCTCCCTCCCTCTCTCTATGTGTCTCTCTCAGAGGTGTACGCCGTGATCGACCTGTACGGCCAGTGTGTTCAGGTGTCCATCACCAGCTCCTCGGGCCCGCTGGACAACAGCCTCTGTACCAGCAACGTAACCGAGAAGAGCTTCCCCATCCACTCACCAGGTAGACCGCCACTGCTACCGCGTAGAACGCGTTGTACAAACGTGTTTTATGGTAAATTAATGAATAAAAAAGGAAAGATTAGCAGAAAAAGAGACACAAAATATCATGTCAGTTGTAAGCCTCAAAGCCTCATCTGCGTATTTCTTCTTTTATGTGTGTGTGTGTGTGTGTGTGTCCTCGTGTGTAGCTGGCGTTGCCCATCGACTCCACAGCAAACACGGCAAGAATGTGGTTGTGCTCGGCGACGGCTGCCAGGGCGTCCGAGTCGGGGGCTACGCTCACGGCATCGTGTTCAGCGCCAAGGAACTCAAAGCCGACGAGCTGTTCGAGGTGAGCGAGGCCTCGAGGCTCCTTTTTCCCATGAAACACTCGAAAAAAGTAACACGCCACCGACCGTGCTTGAAGATAATGCACACGTTATTGAATACGTATGTCTGAACCAATCGGAAATACATTTTCTTTTATTGCTTTCCTTCCTAACTGCGATCGGCTCCGCCCCCTCCCCCCCCCCCCCCCCCCTTCTCCTTTTCCTGATGTCGCGCTCTCTGCAGGTGCGGATTGACGAGGTGGACGAGCAGTGGTGCGGCTCGCTGCACGTCGGTCTGACCACGCTGGCGCCCCCCGAGCTGCCGTCCTGCCCGCTGTCGGGCCTCTCCCCCTCCCTCACGCAGCTCCGCACCAAGGTCACCTGGCTGCTCTGCGGCTCCGAGGTCCGCCGCAACGGCGTGCTGCAGCGGCAGAACTACAGCTGCTCGCTGGACCGGCTGGCGGTACGCAGCCGGCATCTCTTTCCTGTCTCGGATCAGTTGAGTCCCTGACTAGAGGGCGTTATCGGAGCTTCGGGATTATCGCCGTCATAAAGTTTTATGCAAATACAAAGTCTGAATACTCCGTTAAGGCCGAACAAGGCATTCGTAAGTCGCTCCCCCGCTGACATTTAACAGGTCAAAGGGAGAAATGTGGTGAAAACATCGAAAGGAGATTTATAATATTCTGTCCTCGTAGATAAAGTCACTCGTACACGATGCGATTAGGCCCTGGTTGCTCATTTTGAAGAAGTGACATTTGAGAGAGTGTGTTAAGCATCGTTGTATTATTGTTTTCCCAGGTTGGCAACCGGGTGGGTGTGAAGAGGTGCAGCGACGACACCATGCACATCTTCATTGATGGGGAGGACATGGGACCTGCGGCGACTGCAGTAGCCAAGGTACACACTCACACACACACACACACACACACAGACAAATACACACAGCTACTTGTTCCCGCGCTGCAATTCACCGCCGCTCTCCTGCTCCTCCCAGAATGTTTACGCCGTGTTGGACCTGTACGGGCGGATAACCGCCGTCTCCATCGTGAGCTCCTCGGCGACAGAGGACGTGGAAAGCGTGAAGGCGCCGTCGCTCTCTCTGGACAGCTGCAGCGAAGGAGAGGAGGACAGCAGCCCCGTCAGAGAGGTAGAGGGACAGAAAGAAAAGCGACGATTCGCCGCAACGTCAAATGATCCCGAGGAAACTCAGGGCTCTTGCCGTCCCCGTAGCAGGTGGAGGCCGAGGCGTGCGCCTCAGCGCCGACCGCTATGGCGTTCCTGGAGAACCACGGCAAAAACATCCAGCTGTCCAGCCAGAACCTGACGGCGGCCAGAGTGTGCAGCTACAACCAGGGCCTGCTGGTCACCGCCCAGCCGCTGGCTCGCCAGCAGCTCTTCCAGGTAACACGGCTGTGCGCTCACATCTGTGGGTGGCGGCGTTTCGCCGCCCAACGCTAGCGTGATGCGCACGAGCCGTGTCCCTTCCGGCCCTTCAACGCACTCGTTTTGTCACCAGTTTCAGATCGACCGCCTCAACCCATCGTGGACGTCGTCGCTGTCGTTGGGGGTCATAGGTCACTCGCCGGACCGGCTCAACTTCCCCTCCACAGCGTGTTGTCTGAAGCGCTCCGCGTGGCTCCTGCAGAGAGACTCTGTCTTCCACAACTCCTTAAAGGTACACACACACACACACACACACACACACTCTTTCTATTTTCACTTCTCTCACTAAACTTTTCCGCCAATCTTTTTGGTTTTCTTCCTCTATTCTCTTTATAGATATGTGAAAACTATGGTCCTAATCTGGACACTTGTCCAGAGGGGACGGTGTTGGGTCTGCTGGTGGACGCCAACAGTTGTCTCCACCTCTACGTCAACGGCATGGACCAGGGTGTGGCGGTGCAGGACATTCCTTCGCCCTGCTACCCCTTTATCGACCTCTATGGCCAGTGTGAACAGGTGAGGACTGCAGACGCGTTTTGGGGTCAATTGATTGTCTAAGATGAAATGTTCTCCACATCGACTAATAAGTTTAGAATAATTAATTCAGCAGTACATCACTGTGAGGTAAACACCGAGGTGTGGATGCAAATTAATGCTGTATCTTTATGGCAGGTTACTATAGTAACAAACAACGTGGCCGCTGTAGGGGGGGACAGTGGGGAAACCCGTTGTCAAGGAGACATGGAAAAGGCGGACATGGTTGATGGTAAGAAATGATGTCCATAATTCAATTTACTAAATTACATTTTGATGGTTGAAGGTCAGCGTGACCTCACGTCAGGCACACAAACTCAGACTCTTGGCGTCCCCTTGCAGGCGTTTGACCCTTTTCTCTTGGTGCAGGAATCAAAGAGAGTGTGTGCTGGACGCCCCCTCCAGAGGTCAACCCAAACAAGACCTGTGAGTACCAGGCGCTGTGCTCCCGCTTCAAGGACCTGCTCACTTTACCAGGTGAGTCTTTACGCCCGCAGCTTTTCTTTCTGCCGGGACCTTCGCTTCAGATCTGAGATCCTGTAACGACCGCGACACTTTTGTCCCCACCCCCCTCCCGCCATCCCCACCCCCCTCCCGCCGCCCACCAGATGGATATTTTAACGAAGACGCACAGTACAACCTTTGCTACTGCGAGTCCCTGCCACAAGCTCCGGGGCGACGAGGCGTATTACAAGAGAGGCGAACCGCCCCGGGACTACGCCCTGCCCTTTGGGTGGTGCCGCTTCGCCCTCAGGTGACACGTCTGACTGATGCCAGCGGCTTATAACACACGCGATCGAAATGAGTAACGCCAAGACATTTCCCCTTGTCCCCCCTGTGCGCAGGATCAAGCCCCACTGTGAGGTGTCCAACGCACTGAAGAAGTGGCACATCGCGTACCACGGCACCAGCGTCGGAGCGCTGCGCCGCACGCTGGACCACAGCCAGCTGCTGCCGGGTAGGAACCCACTTTTTTTGGTCTTTGATACGCATGCTGGAGTAGACTTGAGCGAGCGCGGCCTTCACTCTCCACGTCCTCTCGTCGTCGCAGGGACGTCCTCTATCTTCTCGGTGTCCCCGGCGAAGGCGGAGGGGCCCAACGGCTACAGCGAGCCGGAGGAGAACAGCGCCCCCGGCAGGGAGGTTCCCAGGGTGCGGCTCTCCCCCACCATGCGCTACTCCGGCATGGAGATCTTTGCCCCTAAAGTGCAGTAAGTCCACATCTGGTTGTGTGTGTCTCCCCCCCGTCCACGGTGAAGAGCTAACGGCACCGATTTTGTTTCTCCTTGGCGACAGATTTCGGGACCCTCGTTCTCACCACAGCCACCAGGCTCAGGTGGGGTTCCAGGTGTGCGTGCGTCCCGGCTCCTACAAGGCGGGGCCGCAGACGCTCGGCCACGGCGAGCCGCCGGACCCCCGCTTCAGCAACTCGGAGATCGAGTGGATCACGAAGGAGCAGGGCGGCACGCTCCTCTACGGACTCCTCATCCGGGTGGAGTGAGCGGAGCGGCGAGGGAGGCATTTTGGGGGGGGGGGGGCGCGGCGCTCCTCGTACCTTCAATAAACTGACAACCAAATCCAGCCTCCGCCTTGAGGGAGAGACTCCTCTGGAATCCAGATGTTTTCAACCGTGGATTGTTGAGAATTCTGAATTATCAATTTATTTTTGGGGGAGGCTCTTTTAAAGGCCGGGGGGGCACGGCGGGTTTCAGAGAACGACGGACACTGCCTGCACTTTATGTTTTGGACCCTCGTGGGCGATTTTTAAACTAACTTCTCATCGACTCAAAAACGACATGTTTGTCCATCCGCTACATTTAAGGTCGGTTTTCTTTGCCACGTCGCTTCCCCGTTTCCCGACATGTTTTCCTCAGCTAACTTTAATCTTTTGGCACTTTTATTTTATTTTTTCTGTTATCACCTGGGCTCTGGTCAGTGTTTCTTTTTTTTTAGTTTTATTTGGGAGGAGCTGTCCCCCGCCAACCTGCACGTGAAAGGACCTAAAGAGACTGAAGCGTGGGTAAAAAAAAGAACAAAAATGTCAAATGTTTTCACAGAAATGTTAAAAAAAACAAAGACACTTGAATCTAAAAATAAACCCGAGAGTGTCTTGTGATTGTGACTTGAGGGGAGGGGGGAGTTTTAAAAGAATGTTTACGTGTACGACTGGTTTCTCTTTTTGTCTCCGTTGGCAGTTGCGGCTTCTTCATCGGTCCCGTTGCCTCGGCAACACGTGTATTTGACACCCGAGAGGACAAATCACAAGATATTTAAAAATATAGATGTGTATATACTTTTAGACGCGGCAGTTTTTGATACAGGAAAAAGGGGGATGGGACGGGGGGGCGAAAAGGAAATGAGCGTATTCACTCTTGCAGAGTAAGATGAGAAGAGGGATTCCACTCTCACGCGTGAAAACATCCCGTCGATGTCGTAGAACCAACCGAAGCCAAAAGGTGTAAGCGTCTTTGTTTTGTTCCCCCCATACACATCCTTGACTACAGCTCCACCCTCCGATCCATCCGTCAGTCGCATCAGACGGGACGTCCCGAGCCAACGCGTCGATCACGAGTCATCCGCCCGTTTACACGCCAACGTCGATTCGTTGTGTCTCGGCTGTTCCTTTCGCGTCCACAAAACACGATTCCTTCACGTCGGGGGAACGTTTGTCGGGCGGAGGGGGGGTAGGTGGGGGTTTGACTCCTTCCCGGGGCATCCACCCAATGATTGATTGATTGTATGTGAATAGCTCTCCAAAGCGCATCTTTTTCACAGCGCTTCTGATGCCAATTTGATACACCTGCTACAGAACGTGAACCCCCCCCTCGTCCGTCCCCCCGACGCTGTTTCGATGAGTCAAACTCAAACTCGGTGTGTTTGAAGAAGGTCTGCGGGGGTTTTGGCAGAAGGAAAAATCTTCCAGTCAAAAAAAATGTGAAAATATGATATTCTGGGTTCTTTATGGCCCAGTGCTGCTTTGTACAATTTTATTTGTATTGTGTTCTTAATTTGTTTTCTGTATGTCGCGTTGTACAGGCTGTTACATAAAAAACAAAACAAATCATATCTTCCTGATTTATATAAAAACAAAATGAATAAACTGACAGACAGTATGCACAGAAGGATGTTAGTTGTTTGTGTCACACAGGCTGGACTCTAAAGACGACCCACCGGCGCATTCGGTTATTTTTCTACTTCATTCATTTGAAAGAATAATTGATGTACAGCAATTACTCATTGAGGACAGTTGAGCTTTTTTTTGTTGCTCAGACTATTAGAGAACCGGCCGAAAGGTTCAGAACCCCAAAAATATATTATAAGTGCTGAAGACAGAATAACACTTACACGTATTATTATAATAACACATACTTTTGAATAAGGTTGTTGCAGGCCTTCTTTATGTCCTGTATGTATGATTAGATTTATTATAGTAACATTAATATAAATATGACATTGGACATTTTCAAAATTCTATAGAATTCCTTTTTTTGACATATATATAACTTTTTTTTGCTATATTACTATGAATTCCTTAAATGACCTTTTCTACATTAAATTGACATTCTGTGACTTTATCATGACTTATTCCAACATGCTTAACTATTTTTTCACGTTACAACCTTTTATTCACTTTTTTCGACATGCTATGCAAGTACTTTTTAATAAATCATTTTGACATGATATACCGTGACTTTTTTGCCTTGATTTTTTAGCATGCTAGATTTCGTACTAGACTGTACTGTGACTTTTTTAATGTCTTATTATACGACTTTTCCCCTGCTCTGTTTTTACTATTTAACGGCTACTTTCAAGTCTCAACACTATGAAATTCTTTGACATGCTATTTAACGTTAAATGCTGCGCTTTTTAACGTTAAATGCTGCGCTTTTTAACGATTTCTTCATCTATTCATTTGAAATAACCCATTTCATGAATATTTGATAATCATAATATAGTTTTTCAGGACATGTTAAGCAGACGCTGTGAAGAAAAGACAACCCACTGTGTTTTTTTTCTTTCTTTTCATTGAATTTTATTTAGAGTAGGAAAAAAAAAAAGTCCGGTCACTGAATTGTTATTGCAATGTTGCACATTTACTCAGTCACACCTTTCCCAAAATGCTGTACACTGTAATCACTCTTTAAGGCCGATCATTTTTTCAAAGTTCTTCACAGAAATAGCTGCTGCTTCGGAGGGAAGATACACAAAGTAACTTAAAAAAAGGTAGAGACTCAGTTCAGTTCAACCAATAAAAACAAACATAATTACAATAACAGTAAGAACTATGACAATATTGTGACTGCAGTGAAATAGAGCGCCGGGGATCTGCGGTGTGACCCGGTCGGGTTGCATAGTCGGTTGTGTTCAATAATCTGTAGTCGGCTTCTAACTGGACCTCGAGTTGTAGCGACCATCTTTCTGGCCCAGTCTGACTTTTTTTTTTTTTTGAAGAGTTAAATTACCAGATCGAGGGTTAAACGTGTTGTATTTCATTTGTGTGAAACGTTCGCAAACCGATGTGTGAAAAAGGGGCAAATTGCAGTTTGAGGTGTTAAATAGTGAAAGTACTTCTGGACAAACAACATTTCATCCAAATGAAATAATTGCCTTTTGTATTCATATTTAAATGACAGATTGGACTTGTTCCTTGTTTAGTTTTAGAGCCATATGTATATTACATGTATACTTTTGGGACAGCTTCCAGTCTTTAATTCTACACTATCGTACAGACTAGAGAGAAAGTCGTCTGCTAATCTTCTGAAAGCATTTAAGTGTATTTACCAACCAGACTCCCGGCACAAGAAAGCTTTGATTTAACGGATTGAAATCTGGGCCAATTGTACGATTTAGCGACCGAACCCCCACGCATTAAGTCTCCGAAGTAAAAGATGGGGAGCAAAATCTTGCTAAATGCACTTATTTAACACACGTACGAGAAAACCAAAGTGCAGCTATCGATTCTTTGTCTTGTGGGAGCAGCGTTGTGTGGATGTCGACTAGCTCGGAGGCTGAAAACCTCTTACTGAGTCCTGAGAAGAGAGACAAAACGGACAGAGACTACGTCAAAGTTTGGTTCAGCTTCATTCAAATATTACACCTTAACTTCCATGCGCACGCACACTTACATACAATCTCCCGAATATGCCAGAAACCAACAACAACAAAAATCTCACACGGTTTTAAAAAAATAGCGAAAAGTTCTATGTACACTTACACATAACGACTTGTTGACATGTTGCCGTAACCGTGACGACGGGACGTCCGGTCCTAAGCGTCGAGCTACAGAGTGCTTTTATAAAAACGCAGGATCACAGTAGGGTTTTTTTTTTCTTTTTCTTCATCAAATAAATAAACAGTAACAAAATCACCGTCAGTACAAACGATCGGCGCAGGACCTTTTGAATCATCGCGATTTAAAAAGAAAAAGCTCCAGGAAGTGGACTACGGCAGCTGTTTCTGCTCCCAGCTGTGGCGTAACACTTGTGGGCGAAAACCTCCCCCCCACACACACACACACACACACACACACACACACACACACACACACACACACACACACAGCTCAGTGCCTCACCCGCTCCGCCACATAAGTGACCGGGAAAATGAGCCAGCAAGTAACCTTCTTGTAAAAATCACAGGAAAAGACCGTTAAAATATGTCGTTGTTCTTGCACGGTAAAACAAAGACAAGACTCCTTTTCCTCTTTTAGCTTTTAAGAAAATCCAAGATGTAGCCGTCATTACCTGGATGCACCAGGTTATTTCCCCAGTGGCGACTCTTTCTGCTGCAGTGAGGGGATTTTTGTTTGTCTGATGGCGAGTGGAGGTGAAAAAAGAAAAGGGTCTTTGAGATATTTCGGCGAGAAGGGTCAGAACGCCAGTAGAACTGGGACGACGTTCTCTTTTCTTCTCTCGGAGGGGGTGCAGAAAAAAAAAAAGAAGGGATTGTTGTCCCATGATTCATTGCGGCTGGTTGTGGGAGGACGCAAACAAAGGGTTTTCGCAGAGAATGACAGACATGGGGAGGCCGGGGAGAAAGGCGAGCAGCAATTTGACGAGAGATGCGTTGCGTCTCTCGTCGTCCTACTTTACGTAAGTTTTTTTTTTTTTTTTTTTCCTGTGGTTTTTTCCCCTCCAGGCGAGCGGCCTCAGAACTTCTTGGGACCCCAGGCGGACGCTTGCTTCGGGGCCACGCCGGTCCCGAACGTGGGGAAGTCCTCCGCGCTGCTCATGTCAGGAGCCTGGAGAGAAACGGACGAGTGCGTCAATCGCCGTTTCCAACTCCTTCTCTAATGCGTCTCCTCGTTTCAGCCGATTACGAATCAGTAAAGACGGAGACACAGTAAGAAGAAGAAGAAGAAGAAAAAAAAAAAAACCTTGTTCCCTGCAGCGTTCCACGGGGCGTCCCGCACCACGAAGCCCTTTGCCGGACCCCCGCCGCTATCGTCCCCTCCAGCTCCTCCTCCCCCTCCGTAGCGAGACGGAGGCTTCATGTAAGCTGCTAGAGTCTCCGTCTCCGTCACGCTGAGCATCTGAGAGGGGCGGGGAAAGGGTGGAGGGAGAGAGAGAGAGAGAGAGAGAGAGAGAGAGAAGGAAATTTGCTCTTTGATGAACTTTGACACCTTTCAGCTGCACCGCCGGGACAAACTCACATATTCCTCCTCCAAGTTGAGCAGGTGGTCGATGGCTTTGTCGACCGTCTCCGGGAGGCCCGTCACCGCCACTTTGTCGGGCTCGTCGGAGCCCGGCTGAGGGAACCGGATATCCACCTGAACGAGAGGGACGAGAGGAGGTTACCGGGTTGAACCGGGATGGAAAACGAGACCACGTTAACGCGGACCAGCGCCTCACCTTGAACTCCTCCATCAGCTTGCGGATGGCTTTCCCTCGGGCGCCGATGATGCGAGCGTGAGTCCTCGGGTCCAGATGAACATCCTGGCTCACCATCTCCTGCCATTCGGCCACCAGCTGCCGGATGGCTGCACTGGCCTCCTCCACGTTCCGCTCGTAACCCGAGACCACGATCAGATCCTGGAAGGGGATGAGACGGGTTCACAGGTCAAGATGAAGACTCGAAGGCCACCGTGCTGCCATCAAAGCAGCAGTAACACACACACACACACACACACACACACACCTGCTGCTCGTCTCCTTTGTCGGGGAACTGGATGCTGACGTCGTGGTCTTTCCTGATCTGAGAGATGACCGCCCCTTTGCGGCCGATGATCTTGGGATGAAACTTTGGGTCTACGGACATGGTCACCTTGAAGCTGCGCAGGGCCTGAAGGGGAAGACCTCAAACATTCTAACAATGCCATGATGATGTGAATTATGTTGGGAGCCGGGAAACGCCTTTTTGTTTACCCGGTCAGCCTGCTCAGCCTGCAGCTCTTTGACCCGGTCCAGCAGACCCTGTTTGGCTCGCTCCACGTTGGCCGTCAGGCCCGTCACCTTGATCCCATCCAGCTGCTTCTCTGGCTGCGGCACCCAGATGTTCACCTGCACACCAGAAACCACGTTTTTATTCGCCAGCCGCAAACCGACGCAAAAACCTTCGTTTTGGCCGGACGATGGCACCAGAGAGTCGATCCTGACCTCGTACTCCTCCATCATCTTCCTGATGCCGCTGCCCTTCTGGCCAATGATGTAGCGATGCAGCTCGTAAGACACTTCCACGTCCTCCGTTATGGGCACCAGCGCCTGGAGGAGACGAGCAGAGACGGGAAGGTTAACGGGGGAAGCGGGAACGGAAGAACGGAAGACGGCGTGTCTGCGCCTACCAGCAGGGCGGCTCTCGCCTGCTCGCACTTCTCTGCGCGCCCGCCAATGGTGATGATGTCACACTTGCGTGCAACAAACTCCGCCTCCGGGCCGGCGTCGCCGTTTTCCTGCGGCGGCGCCTCCTGACCTGCAGTTTCACAACAGACAATGCAAATAAAAACGGCTCAGTGGTTTCCTGTGTAAAGGAATATATAACTCATTATAACGAAGATATAACTCATTTCCATTTGCACTTATGGATTCAAATATCACGGGCGGATCGAGCTGCTCAACCAGTCCGATACCACAGATGAACCCGAATGGGATACAAACGACGAGGTGGCAGCTGGTATTTTCGAAAT